TAAGTGGTTCCAGTTTTCTACAGTCAGGTGACATGACATCTGTTTTGGTAAAAAGTTGAAGATGCCTGCCTACTCTAAATCTATAGTACCAATTTTGGCATACTGTTAAGGCGAGAGAAAGCTTCATTTCACATAAGGAATGACACACAGACATGAAAGTGCTGAAGCTTATAAGACTGTGAATCTGCATATCACATACGACAAAAATTTCTAAGAGCAGATATTGTGTGATAGAAAATGCCCATATTTCTTCTTAGAAGTTGCAAAAGTAACTTGTGCTTTTTGTATGTTTCTAGCCAAGCTAGAACATAATGAAGAGGCTTCAGTTAACTTCGTCTACTAGCCTTCTAATTTTGTGATATAAGGGAAGTTACCAAAACTAAGAAAAGCGCAAAATCTTAATAAAACAGTGGAGAAATATTCAAGGACATATTTAGCGCAGTCACTAACCAAGTATGTGCTTTCTGGACTAAGAACAGCTACGTAAGTTCAAGCTCTGAAGCACTATCTAGCTGTAGTTTTTAAAGGCCAGAGAAAAGCACAGAAGGAAACCATAGACACGTGGCCCTGGTCTCACCTGTTCTCTGGCACCGAGACACAGCACTGTAACACAGCACAGGGGCCTGCCTCGCTTGATGGAATTCTGAATTTTCTTTGGTTTAAACGCAGCAACACACTTCAAGTGTTCCGAGTATTTTTAGATTTCGTTGGACTCAAATTTTCATAAACACAGTCCATTACTCTAAACAGACCATATTCCGATTGCTGAGAATTTAGTCTTATCGGGCCCCATTTCCACCACACAGAAGTCTCTCATCACACTGTTTCTTCATCTAAAGGAGCCTTAATGTAGCCAAAGACTTATGTCAAAACCTGACAGACAGTCAGCCCAAATAAGATCATTATTCTGTTTCCAGAATGTAGTTATTCATTTCAATAACATCTTTCTACTCCTAGCTCCAGGACTCAATGTATAAATAGTACCTGAATTTGAATGCTTGGCTGTTCCTATCCCAAACTGGAGCTTGAAATGCGGGGTTCGCCTCCTACAGGTTTACTGTAAGGATTGATTGCAACAGAAGGAAAGGGTGAACAAAAATAGTACTTCATATAACCACTCGCACCATTTATGGTACTCCTGCCTAAGAGACTCACGGCATTCTGAAGACACAGGATGAGATCATTTGAGATCTGATCCCAGCATCTATTTTGTCTCTCTACTGGACAACTCTGCTAATCAAAGTGACCGTACAATAGCTGTTTATGTTGCTTGTAGAGTGCCATTTGATACTGTCACCACACTGAATTCCTTCTCTGTAGGTGTTGATGTATTATGTCAGGAATCTTTTGTAAAGCTTTGCAAAGTTACCCATTCCTGGTGGGTAATATATTATAATATAAAACAGGAGTCATCCTGGCAGCCTCTAAGCAGCACACATTTCAGATTTTCCAGTGGTTTACTTTTGTCTGTCAGATACTGACAGGAGGCAGGTCAAGTAGAACACAAAGTCAGGAGCTTCTGTCACATTGTGCAATGATGTCTTGCTATGGGGAAAAAATTATTCGTCCTTAGAGGGACATGTAACCTACCTCCAAAGCTTACCACATGGTTTCACATCAGTCCTCGTATCTACAATGTTACTTCACCTAAAAGAGTGTCTCATCATACATTAAACATTAATAAAACTGCCAAGACAACTGAGGATAGGTGAAACAAAAAGAGCATACCAGTAGTCTATTATTCAAATGGATAGCAGCTTTGGATCTTTCAAAGACATGCATATTGCTTCTAGAGAGGAATTACGTTTCAAGAGAAAAGAGGAAAGTAATAGTAGTAGCACAAACACTAATTTATACCATGAAGATGACAACTTAGGATGAACCAACTGACTTTGCAGTGAAACACAGTAAAACTCACATGGTCCCTTACCAGGAATTAGCCAGGAAGCAGCTGTGCCCTCCAGAAGTACGGTGACCAACACTCCCGCATACGTGGATTTCATCCCTTGCAACGGAATCCAGCCCTGCAAGGGTGTTTTTGGAAACCTAACCCAGACCTGCATCTAGGACATAACAATACTGCAAGGCCTGAGACCCCAACCCAGCCATGAGGCACCGAAGCCTACTCTGCTTTAGGATATCCCAAGGTCTGCCCACCCCATAGTGCCACTATGTTGGCAAGGCGGAGCAGTTCGGTAGCTAACACTTTGCATCATTGTGTAATATTTCCACGTCTCATTTCCTTACTCATTAGTTATTAGTAATTGTAAGACTACTTCTGCCTCTGCAAATGTAAATATAACGATTCAATATCTGACTTCATTAATAAAACACCTTTTTACCAAGTAGTAAAAAGACATTTTACTGAATTCAACGTCACTTCAGAGCTTGAAGTGAAGTAAGTGGGAGAAGGCAGCTTCGAGCTGCAAGAAAGTACAGGAAGCAGATGAGCCTCATAAAGACAGGAAAGAAACTGGAGGCAAGTCTTACCAAGGCTCTCTTACTATAACAAGTCGAGTTATTAACTGTTATCTATAACCAGTCTAGTTTCTAGTTCAGACTGTGCCCACCATTAAGTTTAAAATAGTGAGCATATAGAAGGTTCAGTGCACTCCAACAATTCTTCCTCCCCTCTCAAACGTGCAACATGACTCATGGCTTATTTTGTTTACTCTGTGTTTCTTAAGCAACTAAAGGCAGCCAGTCCCTGCTCTCCGTTACATCCAGGTAAGTCTAGCTTATCTCTGCTGATTTCATGGGTTTCACTTCCAGTTTACCCTGTAGCAACTAAGAATTTGACAGATACTCAGATGTGCACTGGTAATGAAAGGCGTAACATCGATCTGGAGAAAGAACCAACTTAGCAATTCTAAGTCACTGAAAACTAAGGAACTCGCCACTTGTGTCTCCGGGCTTTCAGTGAATTATGTGGGAAGACCACCCTCGTTAAATGCCAGAAAATTAACTGGTCACCTGTTCCCCTGTTGTTCGAGGTAAGTAAAAACCCCAAATTGTTACAGTCAAACTGGTACAACAGGTTTTCAACAATGTGTATATAATGTGTGACTGAAGTTCGCAACTAGCATGCTCTTAATATTGACAATCCTCATGGATAAGCAAACAGGCCAAACTGTCCCTCCTTTATACACCAAAAACTGAGAACACAAAATGTACTTATTGTAAAGATGATTTTGACCAGAAGCAATATTGAAGTGAAAGCGTGCTTTCATTTATACTCTCACATAAGCATCATTCAACTCAAGAGGCCTGCTGGGTACTCTTCCCTTAAGTATACGAGGCAGAAAATTAAATATACCAAAAAGAGGTAAAAGAGAGACCAAATAATGAGATCATGGGAAAGAACTGGAAGAGTGTTCCACAGTTTGTATAAGGTCACTGAAACTGAATTATTGACCCAACATGTCTCTTAACGCTGCAGTCAAAATTTAAGTTCACTTTCCTGAGCCTCTTTCAGAAAGTATTCAGTGGCTAGTAGAGGCACAGCAGTGGAATGTCATCTAACCATTCTTTATACTGAAATAAAGAACAGGACTGTTACAGTAATAGCTCCAGCACAGATCTCAGCTGTACCTGTTCAAGCCTAACTGAACTTATACGTGCCTTTTCAGCGCAAACTTGCCTTACCACACTAATATTTATGCCTACAGAATTGTGTATGAAATGATTTTATATTCTGATCCCTGGGGATTACTGAAAACAACGAGGAAAGAGAAGTTTCTCTTCCAGGTACAGGTCAGATTTGCTAGTGCAACTCTGCATTGCACTGGAATGCTTGATGACTCAAGTTTTACTGACTCGTGAGGTCACAACATTGATAACAGGGGACAAAGGAATTTAATAGTCCAACCCAATCACTGCAGAATCCACAGCCCAAAGAGAGCGTGCTCTCTGTTTCGTGGTTTGATGGCCGCTGTTACAAGTGTGCATTTTTAAATGGAAGGGCCTTGGTATCGGACGCAGCCCATGCTAAGAAGAATCATTTCCACGTCCACGTATTCATGGAGACCTAGCTTCAGTAACTAGATCAGATGTTGCAACCTGCTGTTACACACATTTACTTACCGGCTGCCCAAAGCAAGCCTTAATTTATTCTGACCTCGATCACGCAACACACAGAGTGACAGACAAAAGCTGTAAATTGCCATCCGCTACCCCGCTGGAGGAGGAATATGCTATCAAACACCACGCAACAAATAATTAAAGGGAGTGGAGAGTCGGTACTTGATGAATAATCCCGGCCGTGCCCGCAGCAATACAACCGCGACAGCCGTCCCGTTCATAGCGTCTGCACTGGGAATCCTCCGTGCCGAACCCTGCGGCGCGCCTGCACAACGCAGCCCCGGGAGCAGGCACGGCGCACCCGCTTCGGGAGGAGGCAGGCCCCAGGCAACAAATAATTAAAGGGAGTGGAGAGTCGGTACTTGATGAATAATCCCGGCCGTGCCCGCAGCAATACAACCGCGACAGCCGTCCCGTTCATAGCGTCTGCACTGGGAATCCTCCGTGCCGAACCCTGCGGCGCGCCTGCACAACGCAGCCCCGGGAGCAGGCACGGCGCACCCGCTTCGGGAGGAGGCAGGCCCCAGGCCGACTTCGTACAGGAGCGGCCCGAACCCCCGGATGCGGCTCCCGGGTCTGGAGCAG